ATAAAATTATTTAATAATAATGAAGGGTGAGATTGAGAGAAAAAGACAAGGTAACGACGCGACCACACCAAATCAGTCGTCACATAAAGTGGCACATTTTGTCCTTACATAATGACGAATTTAACGATACGATACAATAAAATTTAAATAACAATAAAAATAAATATCGTATTTAAAATAACAATACGATACAATAAAATAGGTAACAGCCGCTCAAACAAACAAGCTATTAAGTGGCACAATGACTTTGGAACAGAAGTAAATAGACACAACTTTTTAACATGCATGTATGAAAACAAAGAAACCTGAATACATTCAGAGACCACACACGTGCATTCCCATATTGTTATGTCTATAATTTTTGGATTTTAATTATATCCACTGAAGTTGTAATAAAAAATTTAAACTATCAACTACCATTTAATTTGTTATAGAAAGTTTCTTGTCTTAATTTTCAAATTACTAATATTTCACTTCTTATGAATATTCCATTTATTACTAATATTTCAAAATACTAATACTTGATATAATTGATAGCGTAATTTTTTTTTACATTAATTAATTATTAAACGTCAACATATAGAAGTTAAAAATAAAATAAAAAATATATATATATATATATATATATAATTTTCAATTACAAAATGTCAGCACCTCACGAAGTAAAAATAGAAAATTACATGGATGACACGGGCTTAAGAAATTTTACCAGAAGATCATTTATTATGTTGCTCGTCTATTTCTTATAACTTTCACCAATTCTCTTTCTTATTAAAAGACAGAAGCATCTTATATATAGGAAATAAAGAAAGTCACGGGTGACCATAACTTAGCTTGTTCATCTACAAACAAAAATGAATATGTCTTCTTTGGGCATGGAAATTCTGACAAAAGATATACGATCGTGAGTGTTTGACAACAAATGGTACGTTCTATTTTAATTGAATCAGACACACACACATTATATGCATGAACCTACGGACGTTTTTATTTCTTTAGGTTCTCTTTTTTTATGTTTACATAAACTTGGTAATTACTTAGCTAGCTAGTCGGATTCTTGTGACGTTTATCACAACATGATACTTGACTTGTTTCTTTTTAAGGTCACAATGCCATATACCAAGAGACTTATCCAAAAATCTATAATATGCAGGGTGCTAATATCGCATCCAATACTAGTATATTTTTGTGACAATGTGTGTGAATTTATTAGTAAAAATATATAATTTAAAATTTATAATTATACTTTTCGAAATAAGATTTAATTTAGTTGTAACTTCTAGTAAAAGGAAAAATAAAATAAATTTAAGACAAATGTTTATAGTAATGGTATAGAGGTGACAAATGATCAGGTGAATCAAGTTTGAATAAGCTGAAACGAATTATAATCCATTACAATCGAATTTGGAGTAATCGTTAAAAGTTTACAATTGAATATCACTAATTCAAATCAATAAAGAGTCATAATCCAACTCATTATAAGATGTGACTAATTTTGTCACCTCCATATAGTATGTAATATATGCGAAAGTAACAAAGTGGAGAAGATGGCGAAGCAAAATGCGGCAAAAGCAAGGGAGAATTAATAGGCAGAAAACAATATTGAGTGGGACGGAGCACCCTATCCCTAGGCTGTAGCTAGCAAACATTGTTTTAAAAGGCGTGAGAGTAAGGCGAAGCGTTTTACATATGTTTTAGCGGGGCGTAAGCCCCATAGGTATTTAATATTTTATAAAATAATATAATGATAGTTTATATATAAACAGGTAAAATTGCATAAAAATTGAAGAAAACTATATATATATGTGTGCTCCATCCCCACAAAAAACTAATCAAAATAATCTATTATGCGTTACTTACAAGCACAAGTAATTTGAGTCTAAAAGAATAAAGTTTTCTATATGTAGGAACAAAAAGGATGATTAACCTGCAATTTGAACTTTGAATTTGCTGCTATGAAGAAAAATGTAGTTCTCTTTGTATTTGTAAAAAAAATTAAATATTCGTTACTTTTGGGAGATATTAGCTTAAATCAATAAAAAGGATCTTTACTTTTAAATTTAATACTTTTGAGTTCATTTCTAAACCTTTTGAGTAATTACCAAACTGACTTTTGAGAATTTGGGTATTATATGAAGGACTAATTCAACAAATTTTATTTTAATTTGAAAAAGTCTCTGGGGCTTACTCCTTACTAAAAAAACGTGCCCCGAATGCCCGGGCATACATCGTACGCCTCTTGAGACTTTCGCCCCACATCATCGTCCATGGGCTCGCCTCAGAAACGCCTTTTAAAACAGAGAGCAAACCTTAGAGCTTTCCAATTAATAGTACTACGAACTCCACAAATAACAAAAACATTTTGAAGCATAACTTTTTGTTTGCAAAGATTACAAGGCAAGGATGTCTTTTCAAGTTCCCAATATTCCTTGGTACAATTTGACTCTTTAATTACTTCCTTCTCATCCTCAAACTTCTTTGATGCTCCAATTTCTATTCACTTTATTTCTCCTCAGGTAATCTTTTATACCCTCCTATATCCCAACTTTGGAATTACTATATATGTGGGCTACACCCAATTTTATGTTAAGCGATGCCAATTTATTGTCATAATTTAGTATGTAAGTGAATAATGTACATTATTGTACGTTCTGAAGTTATGGTGGCTTTAAAATTTTAAATACTTCTACTAAATTAATACTTCATATGCTTTGTATTATTTGCAAGTGGTATAATACAGGATCAAATAACTTACTAAATGGCATCTACTTTAACAACATATGTACATATCATATACAGTTTCTTTCATGTTATCCACTGCAGGATGTGCTGAAAATTATTTTTTAAGAAACTGATCAACTCCACCTATGATGGCTAGCGTGAAATAATCAGTTTTGTCAGCAAATTTTTATCAGTGTTGATACTATATATAGGAAAATCTTGCATGTTTACTACGTTACAAAACTTGAAATGCGTGGATTGTCTGTGTAAAAAACTTGATGTATTAATGCAAGAATACATGAATATTGAAAGCATTGCAGTAGATATCCAATCACATATAGAAGTAAAGGGAATGTTTCAGTGAAAAAGACACCTTATCCACATGAACAACTTTAAACAGAGACAATTGACACTCAACTTAAAAAGTTGGCATACACTTATTACTGATACACATGAACTATATATGTACTTGAGATTACAGAGTTGGAACTTCACTAAAATTAGCAATGCTCACATGCAAATACGACATAGAGATTTAAAGCCTTTGAATTGTAGTGAGATATCCATCGATTTCATTCTTTGTGGTACCTCTATCTTGGTGTTTGTCTTTGTCTTATTTCTCAAAATATTACAAACCCAATTTTAAGTTATATACACTATTAGTGTATTAAATAATGTTCTTATATTACGGTTTAATTGAATTGGTTATAACAAATTATTACTCAATTTTGTGTTACATAAAAAATTATTTATTGTTGCAAACCAATTTAACCTCATAGTGTAGACATTGTACAAAAATTAAACTCTAAAAAGTAAAAACCCACATCTGTATTTTGCGTTTTCTTTGCTAAAAAATTAAGCCCTAAAAATCCAAGAACAGTCAATTGTGGGACAAAGATTCCTTGGCTTCTTGCCTCTTATTACTGTTAGATCTTTTGACAATTGTTGTTAGTAGTTCAAGGGGCTACTTTAATGGTCAAACTAGGAAATTTGTTTTATCTTAGTTAACCTATAACTTTGCGCCAACTACATTGTAGGTAGTTAATTAAAAAGAAAAAGTCTACCGAATATATTAGCATGACCTCTAGGAGCAAAATGGAATCTACTAGGGCTTTTTGTTAATTTGAGTTGTCCAAATTTCTATTTATGGGGCTATAGCCCTGTAACTTAACTTCTTAGTAGTATAATATAACTGGGGCCTTTGGTATAAAGATTCTCTCTTTTTTAATTTTCTTGATTGATTTGACATCCAAGTCTTAAAAAACTTTAATACTAGGACTTTTTATTTATTTATTAAAAGAAGTTGAAATAGGAGTAATTTAGATTGTCATATAGCAATATAAATATAGCTTCCGCGGTTGCCTAACAAAAAATGTTAATGGCGCAAATTTTGTATAGGGTAATTTAAATGATTACAACTTTACAAGTAATATACATAATGCAAATCCCCAACAATTGGATAAAAAGATCAACAACTGGTGTTAGAAAGAGTTGAATGGTTATCATCTACTAACTACTGTACTAGTCTAATGACAATTATCCAACTTTCAGTTTTTCAGTCAGTTTGTTAAAATCACACAACTAAATTTTGTAATGAAAAAAAAAAGAAAAAGAAAAACTAAATTATGCATAATATAATACAGTACATGAAAAACATCAATAAATGCTAAAATTCGGTCTGAAATGCCAAAAAGGTTGCTTTAACAACTCATACTACATAAATCCAAGTGTCACCTCTTAAAAAATTAAAAATAGCACTTTTGACCCACTTATAAGAAGGAAAAAAAACAATTGAGGTGTCAAATTAAATATAGCAATTTCACAATTTATATATACATATATGAGTTATTCTTTCGTTATAATAATAATTAATTTTAGTGTAATATACTAAAAATTAAATGACCATACATAAAATTATCCAGCAAGTGTAACGGAGTTGTAGTTATTGTTATAGTAGTATTATTATTTGTTTTGATATGTCATATTCGTAATTGAGGAAAGGGACAAAATATACTAAAGCAAAAAATATTAAAGTAATTACTTGCATTTCAAGTATGGGAGAGCTTTTATGTGGAGTTGGGACACCTCCATCAATACCTACGAACTCCACTCGCAAATAGACAAAAATAAAGATAGTCACGCCTCTTATAATACAAACAACCTCTCAACTTAAACAAAATGATGATTTAATTACAAAGCAAAATAATCATTTTCTAATTACCAAATACATACACATTACTGTGTAAATAAACAAAGCACATTAAAAATCATTAAGAAATAAGTGAAACACAAAATTATGATTTGCTTAGCGTAACGTCTTTCCAAAGATTCACAAAACCCCAAAACCACCCAATAGCCTAAAGAGGATGTACCAATTTTCTGTACCCCCAAATCTGAGCCTTTTCACTCACCTCTTTGCTCCTCCTCCTTTACTCTCACCGGAAAACCACTTCTCTAATTTCTCTGTTTTAAAGTTATTCTGCTTTAAAACTAGTGCTGTTTGAGCTGTAAAATCTTGAAAAAATGAGGACTTTATCAGAAACTCATAATGGGGTTTTGAGTTATGGTGGAATTTCTTGAATCTTGATCTTTCTTTGCAGGATTTAGGCCATGGCGACACTGAAACAGCTAATGGGTAAGTGTATTTTGTTTTGAAAATACAATGTGAGAGCTGAATTTCCCATTTTGGAGAGAAAGAGTGAGAGTTACTGTGTGTGTGTGTGAGTGTGAGATGATGGTGGCTGCTGTTTCAACAAGTGGCCGACAAAACCCCAAAGATGAGCCTTCAAGAAGACCTCCATTGTTACCAGACAATAATGGAGTTGGAGTTGCTGCTAACCTTAAAAGACCCAAATCAAGAACTGTCCAATCTCGTTACATGTCCCCTTCTCCTTCCACTTCCTCTTCTAATTCTTCTTCACTATCTTCAACTTCAACTTCTTCTAGTACTAGACGATTCCCTTCTCCTTTAGTTTCAAGAAATTTGTCAAATACTACTACTCCTGTTTCAGGTCCCAAAAGATCTGTTTCAGTGACTGACCGGAGACGGTCGTCTGCGGTTTCTAGGCCTCTTACACCTGATCTTGATTCTAAAGTAAGCAGTAATGTAGGTGAAGTTTCTGCAGCAACAAAGCTGCTGGTGACTTCTACTAGGAGTTTATCAGTTTCATTTCAAGGTGAAACCTTTTCACTACCTGTAAGTAAGACTAAGGTGGCTCCACCTTCTCCTAATTTGAGTAGTTTAAGGAAAGGAACACCTGAGAGGAGGAGGAGTACTAGTAGTGGTAGTACTACTACTCCTCTTAGAGGGAGAGCTGATTATGGTGGGGCAGATCAGTTGGAGAATTCTAAGCCTATTGATCAGCATCGTTGGCCGGGGAGGGCTAGGCAGGGGAATCCGCTGGCGAGGAGCTTAGATTGTAGTAATAATAATGGGGATAGAAACAAGGTTATTGGATCTGGGAATGTAATTAGGACACTGCAGCAATCTATGATTGATGAAAGGAGGGCTTCATTCGATGGAAGGTTGAGTCTTGATTTGGGAAATGCTGAGCCGGCTTTGAAGGCTGTTGAACAACCTCAGGACGTACATAATGAGTCGTCTCTACCCTCTGATCTTACTGCATCTGACACGGATAGTGTTTCTTCTGGTAGTACTTCAGGAGTGCAGGAGTGTGGTGGGAGTTCACGTATACGCGGCGTGCCTCGTGGCATTGTTGTTTCTGCTAGGTTTTGGCAAGAAACAAATAGTAGGTTGAGGAGGTTGCAGGATCCTGGGTCGCCTTTATCGACAAGTCCAGGTTCCAAATTGGTTGTGCCACCGAAGTTGAGAAAGTACTCTAGTGATGTCCCAATATCGTCCCCGCGAACAATGTCATCGCCTATTCGTGGAAGCATTCGGTCTGCATCTCCTAGTAAGCTTATTGGGTCATCTCCTTCCAGAGGAATGCCTAGTCCATCACGTGTCAGAAATGTGGTTAGCACTATTAATAGTAACTTCCTTGAGACCCCTTCAGTTCTTAGTTTTGCTGTTGATGTTCGGAGGGGGAAGGTTGGCGAAAATCGAATTGTTGATGCACACTTGTTGCGGCTTCTGTACAATCGACACTTACAATGGCGCTTTGTAAATGCTACGACTGAAGCAACTTTGCTGGTGCAAAAACACAATGCAGAGGTAAAGCTATACTTTTCACTGTAAAGTTTGAATCTCTTAAATCGATATCAATATTTCACTATAATGTGTTGCGTGTACCCCTAAGGATTACTTACTAGTATTAAATTCAACTGGGCCTAAATATAGCGGAATATGTAGAGGATTTGTATCGCAGACTGCAACTTGTCTTGGAATGGAGGTGTAGGTTGATTGATTGGTTTGTTGTGTATACCCCTTCAACTTCAAACTGTTTTCCCCCTGATTTTATTCTTTTTCCTTATAAATTTTGTGGGATGTGAGAAATAAGAACAAGGGAGCTCAGATTCTTTCATACCTCGCAGAAGAGCTATGTGAACAAGTACTTCAAATCATTCCTCTTACATGAATTTTCCTTTGGTAGGGTATAAATGACTTCTAGGGATAAGAAAAGCACATACCTAATAGTAATAGATCTTTAGTGATTGACATTTCTATCTACAGAATGCAGGCGGTTATCTATACATGCGGGCAACTCATGCTAACTCCAAAAATAAAATAAAGTTCAGTTTTAGAATTTGATTAAACGTTTTACCTATTCCATGAATTTTCATTCGGTTTTGTTCTCTCCATATAATCCATATAATTGCTTGTGGGACTACATTCCAAGCTCTGCTCCGCTGGTTCTTCTTTTCTGTCCCCTCCATCATTGAATAGTCTGATAACAGTCCTAGGCATTGTCTTGGTAGCACCAAAAAGTTGCAAAAAGAAATTCCACTGCTTGGTTGGCGATCTTACGGAGAATGAGAAAATGATTAATATCTTCACTAGTTTCTTTGCACAAAAAAAGTACCAGCTGATATGTATTGTTTTGTTTCTTATCTAATTATCAACTGTTAAAATTGTGTCTCAAGCTGCTGTCCAAACAAAGAAGTTTACGTAGCTAGGAGCATGGTTAGGCCAAATTGCCTTGCAAGGAACTCTCTTGCTTTCTGATCTTATATGAATTAAACCTTCAATATTTAGTTTGTGGATAAGAGATGTTGTAAGAGAATTTTTTAACTGAAGTTATAAGACTTCATATATATTGTCATCGATTTGGTCATTGTTCTTCTCACTTGCTAATTGAGATAGGTAACTTTTACTGAAATTCTATCTGTTAATGTTGATCAATCCAGTGGTTATGCAGTTCTTTTCTTAGAAAGCTTCTATCGGATCCTTCCTTTTGGCTCAAGCCGTCTTGAAAATAGCTTCAATTCACTAGGTTGTTATAAAGATTGAAGGTCTTATCTTAGTTCCTTTAATAAGTTTATGCTGATTGATAAACAAGATCCCTACCCATTTTATAAGCTAAAATGTTGTACTTTTTGCAGAAAACTTTGTGGAACGCATGGATAACAATATCAGATTTACGTGATACAATCACTAAGAAAAGACACAGGCTACAGTTGCTGAGGCAGAAATTGAAGCTAGCTTCCATTTTAAAGGGACAGGTATGGTACCAGCTCTTTGTTCCCCTAGGTACATTTTCCATATTATAAATTCTTGCTGGATTTTTGGGTGATATCATCTTTTGGTTTCATGCTTATTTCATATTCCGTTGAAAAGATATTCCTTACAAGGTAAAATCAGCCAGCCTGATGCAGCCTAACTTTGCCCCTCTTTTTATTGAGAAGGCTAAGAAAAACTTTGCCCTCTATTAACATAGTTTGGTTGCACTTCAGGATGAGCTTTATTTTCACTTTTGGTATCTGCTTTACTTTTGAGCTCAATAATTGCCTTTTCTCTCCTGTTTCTTTTTGTTTGATTATTAAGCATAGCTGCTACTTAACTTAATCCTAATTTGCCTTTCACTGTCAATACCCCATTAATATCTCAAAATTTTATTTTATTATCCTTTAAAAGAATCCTCCTTCCTCTGCCGATAGTTATTGAATTGTGGTGCTGCTTGATCTACCTCTTTTGGCATATGAAAAGAAGCCCTCTAACGCATCATCCATGAATCATGACTATAATTGGAATGTGCCAGTGGTACCAGTTCAGGTCCTTCATATTTTCAAATTTCCTTAAAGTTATATTGTATTCAAATGTCAGTTGGATATTCTGCTATTTCATCATGTTTGATCCCTGGACTCATTGAAACCCAAGCTAGTTTCATCTAATACCTTTGCATTGTCTTCACTTTCCATCTTCCTTTGCACTCCTCTCTATGGCATGCATAACATGAATCTTATATTGCCCAGCAAATACTAATAATGAGCATCTCAATATGAGCGATGCTGTTGACCTTTTGACATTTGCCTCTTAACTTTGCCCATGAATCTTATTGACTACTCTACTCGTGTCAGGCCCATCCGGAATGGAAATATTCTATGCTCCTTTCTAGCTGACACCAAATGCAACTCTAACATTCCGAGGAATTTTAACCCATTTTAGTTGGTTTCTTATGAACTTTTCGTAGTAGAGTATTGAGAGTGAGAGGAAAAGTTTCTTTTAGGGAGTGCATTTGTTTTAGGAACAACCCAAAATATAATTTAGGACAATTTCTGACTTATGGGAGTTGTTCCGTTTCTTACTGATACATGGGATGCTTATTGCATAAGTTCACATAAGTGACAGATTACCCTACCTAACACAATTATCTACTGTTCAAGCTTTCTCTCACCCCTAAGAGCGGATTTCAAAATTGATAGTTTTAATTTCTTTGCTTTGCTATTCAGAATGAGAGTAACTTGCTATATGTTCTTAAGTTTTTGCCCCATTCATTCTGTTGGAAAGCTCACCTTCTAATCTTCGCTTGTGCATGTAGCAATGCAATTCCTTCTGTTTTATAAGTTCATATTTACAAGAGTGTTGTGGTACTTCATTTTTTTGCAGGAGTAAAATTACTCTAAAAGTAGTCAATGACTTGTTTGATGTTTTTCCTTACTCCGGCAGCGAGTACCAGACTCCTCTGTGTTTGCCTTGTTGCTCTGATTTTCTGCAGTCGGGCAACAATTAGATTCTAGCTTTCACCTTCAATATATGAATAAAATCCCTGAAATACATCATTCGTGAATACAATTTGCAACTAAAAATGCATCCAGTTTCGTCTCAGTTGGTTTATATTTTCTCAGCTCAAATACTATCTTTTTTTATGTTTCATATATGGTGCCATCCTCGTCAGTTTTCAGCCAAAGTAGAGCCAATTCATCTGGAAACCCACTCCTAATCGGAAAGTCTGACTGTTTATATCAACTGCAATTTGTTATTCTGAATAAGTGTCTGAGACTCTGAGAGAAAGTGTCTTCCAGTTGATCTAGTTGATGTGGTCTTGTAGTAGTTATCAGAGAGAATAACTGTAGGCATGATATGATTATTGTGAGCTAAGTTGATTCTTTTCTTCTGTAGATGATGTCCTTAGAAGATTGGTCTTCATTTGATAAAGAACACTCCATCTCACTGCTTGGAGCAATTGAAGCCTTGAAAGCGAGCACTCTCCGTCTACCGGTCATTGGAGGAGCTCATGTATGTTATTGGGTGACACATTATATTTTGGTTTTAGGCTTCGTTTCTGTTTTTCATAAGAGGTCACATATAGTTTAATGTAATCTGTGTGTCAATAACAACAGGTTGACATCCAAAACTTGAAGGATGCTGTTAGTTCAGCGCATGGTGTGATGCAGGCAATGGCATCCTCAGTCGGTTCCATTTTTGGCAAGGTAACCTCATTTTCATCTAGCTATCTTTCTGTTAATGGTGACTGTTGCCGTGAATTCAGTTAATGCGTAGTGAGTGTACTGGTTCCTCTTCATTTTTCTTTTGCTTTTGATAAAGCTGTTAGGATATTTAAGCAACATAGAATATTGTTTATCAAGTAGCTCACAACTGTTGTTGAAGTTTGTATTGAATAGCAATAGAGTTGTTCCCATGTCACAAATATTATATTGAGCTCTTTCTGATATGGAATGGATCCTCTTCAGATTTTGTTATCTCTCTCTCATCTAACAACTGCTCCTCAATATATGAATCATCAGTTTCTGTGGCGCTCCATTTAAGTTGATCTCCGTTCAATATTATATAACGTAAACCCTCAGGGGTTGGCCTGGTGGTAATTGACTTGAGCCTTGGGGTTTGCTCCCTTTCAAGGTCTCAAGTTCGATACCCACTGGGTGCAAACGATTTCTGAGGGCCATCGGACTGGGTAAAACCTGAATTAACCGTGGTGCACGGGAAACTCCTTGCCGAGGGCCTGTGCACCCCCTGGATTAGTCGGGGGCTCAAAGAGACTCGGACACCCGGTGCAAATCAAAAAAAAAAATTATATAACGTAAATAAAAATAAGAACAAAGGACTAAAGGACTCTAGAAATCGTTGGACCTATAAGGTAAACATACTAACATGACTAAGACTTAATCTAAAAAATTGGTATCGCCTATATAGATTTTTTTCTTCCATTGTGCCCTTTTATTCTCGTCTCAAGTAATAAAAGAAAAGCCAAGTCAAAGGAAGCTGCATTTTCTTTTTCATCTCAGTGTAATTCAGAATAACTCCTTTAACAAGATGATTTCTCAGGTTTTGCTGGTGCTGCCGATCATTATAGGATCAAGGCGTATTGTTAAAAGTACTGCAGTAAAAGCAGTATTTTACTTGGAGGATTCCATAAGAGATTCTAAATAATAACAAGGAACTTAGTTTAGGTAGCTTATTACTTGGAATTTGTAATAGTTCATAGTGATCCCAATGAAAAATAGGGAAGAGAGAGGTAAACGGGGCAACCCTTTAAATCTCCAGAGTTACAACATCATACAGGAAAATTATAAGGAAATGAAAAGAAAGGAAAGAAGATCAATTTCCAGCTAACAAGCCAACTTCTCAAAACTCATGAAAGGAGTGAAGTGATAAGAAAAAGGAATTAGGAATTTACTTCATCAAAAAAAAAAAAAGGAATTAGGAAAGACAAGGAAAATATTACAAAGAGAAGTCTTTGTGTTGAAAACCTTTGTTTCCAGAGCTGTAGAATGCAGTATAGTGGTAAAAATCATTAGGCAGCTTTATTGGATTTGATCTGTTAGAATCATGGTTTCTTGATAGAAGAAACTGATGTCAATTGTCTGCAATTTTGTTTAGGGGAAAAAGTAAGATATTAAAAGATTGCTCATTCTTTGATAATTTCATTGTTTTGAATGAAATGATTTTGCCAAGTAGACCGAGGAGGTCTGTTGCATGAGATAGTTGTAAATTTGTACATAAAGTTAGAAAGAATTGAACAAGCAATTTGGAAGAGACAATTTGCCTTCCTGGCAATTAGCAGAAATGTTACCCTGTCGTGAACGCAATTTGCAGTTTTACTGGTAGGACTAGAAAATAATGAAGTTGAGTAAGAATCTGTAACCAACCAACATAAACTAGAGAAACAATGAGTTTTGGACACGAGTATCTTCCGCAAAGATTAAGGACAAATACATGCATACAAGATATGAACATTAGGGTCAAGTAAGCTGGAATATAAAGCAGAATAAAAAATGAAGGACAAATACATGAACATAAGATTTGGTGGAGGATAAGGAAAAAATTTGAGAACCTCACCTTGTGAAATTTAGATTCCACTTGCCATGTTGCTCGAGCATTTGGTTGATTAAATTACTACCTGGAGGCTTGCGCACTTGATTACACAATGGTTAGACTTGGAACTCCAGTTCTTGACTGAAGGCTAGACCAAAAAATCTACTTAATAACATAAGTTAGTAATTGTAGTGCATTTGGACCTATAAAAGGTCGAAAGCAGACTGCATGAGTTCACTTGTTCGCTTTGGAATTGGAAAAGGATGAAATTAGTTCAGCCAATGTCTGACAGAAATATGCATAAAGTCATTCGTTATAAAATAATAATAGCTGGAATTAGATTTTATCAACAAACCAAAAAAATAGAAAGTAATAGCTGGATTAGTGATGAAACATGGTTTCCGACCAGAATAAACTCTATTCAGTTCTAAGTTTCATATGCATCAAGTCTTTTTGATAAGGATCACATGCATCATGTCTTCTTGATTGTATACAAGCAACACCAAGAAAAAGTATTGAATTTTGCGAACCACCTCATTCAAAAATTTAAAGCTGTAAACAATAGGATAGTCTGTTTTTTAAAATACTGTCTTTAACACATTGTAGTCTAGCAGTGCTTTTGACACCTTAGGATCTAGATGGTTCCCAAACCAGTTCCATGTACAAGAAATTCAATGAAACAGCTAGTTTGTGCGGCAAGTGATCTGGAACTCCAGCTTAATTGTTGCAGAAATGGGATAACTACTGTAGCCTAATGACTGCCCAATCCTGTTATTCAGATATAGAACAAACAACTAAAACTACGCCTCCACTCTATGCTAGTTGCCTTCAGCCAATCCTGTAATCTAATGACTAGGGGAGCTTTGGCCCAACGGTATAAGTTGCCACCGTATGACCCGGAGGTCACGGGTTCAAGCCGCCGAAACAACCTATTAAAGTAATCTGAGGTAAGGCTGTGTACATAGGACCCAATGTGGTCCGATCCTTTTCCTGACCTGGGCGTAGCTGGAGCTGGGAGCTTAGTACACAGGCTGCCCTTTTATAAGTCAGAATAACCATCTCATTAATAGACATAAAGAAGGTGGCAAAAGTTGAATAGATAGAAGTATCTAGTATTAGGCTTCAGAAAAATCTAACCATCTTTACAAAAAGAAATGTGTTCTTTACACCAGAAGTATAAGTAAAAGATTTTGTGTCTCTTGATTTTCACATCGTCTCAACCCATCTAACTCTTTTGTTAATTTTGGTATCTCCCCAGTCCTCTGCAAGATGCATGAAAGTGCTATTCCCAGACTGACTTTTCTTTCTAGTTTTGCTCAATCCCCTTGTCAAAATGGCTTTAGCAACTGTTCCTGGAAGCAGCCATGAAATGTTAAACATCAAGTACACCAAATTCTATAACCCATCTGCATACTTGCAATGAAGAGCAAGCAGTAAAGGGGCAGCCCGGTGCACAAAAAATCCCGCATTACCGTAGGGTCCGGGGAAGAGCAAGTAGTCTCACCACATTTCTTGCACACACGGCACCATCTTACCAATGTGCAATCCCTCAAGTTTTGCACCGTATAAGATTCCATGTGACCGCCACGTAAAGAAGGTTACCCTTTTGGTGCCCCCGTCTTGCTAATATTTCACCACATGATTCCTCTCTCCCTCTCTTTTTGAGATGAAGGTAAATTTATTAAATATCAGTACCAAGAGGGTACTGTACATAGTACAAAGGAGAGAATTACAAGGTCTCCACATGAATTCCTCTCCTCCCTTATCGTCTAGACAAAGCAATCTCACCAAGGAACAAGTCTAACCCAGGCCCCTCAACACCATCCTGGATGTCCCTCCGCTGTCACTAGGCTATATGTTGCTTGAAGAAAATGGTCTTTTCTCCATTCTCCGTCCTGAATAATTCTTTTAAAAGATCCATCCCAGGAAATTCCATGTGTCCCCTTTATTAGTAATTCCACCGGCAATGCCTCTCTATTGTCTGCAATTTGCCTGTCTAATGGAAGTTTATCGCTTTGCTACCTTGACTAACTATAATGTTGAGTGTAATTCTTCTGTTGTGTACCCACTCTTCAGGGTCCTTTTGAATTGGTGAATATATACGAAGTTACGAACATTACTTGTGTCTGTAGCAGTGTCAAATTGACTATTAGATATTTTCTGTTGACTTCTGTCTAACAGTAATGTAACATAGGCATCTTTGATATATGAATAAGTGGTTGTGGTGTTCATTTAAGGATTACCTAGATTTGCTTTGCCTGCGGAATAAATAAAACATATGGAATGATGTTATCCATTGTTGGAGATGTATATATAACCTGCTTTTGTTTTCGTAATGGAATGAATTCTGGTGTAGTTGCAATACAGCTCTTGTTATTGTATGATGGAAGTAGATGACATATAAGGATCATTACTTGTTCAAGACTGTAAACAGTGATGAATATGTGGGTTGTGGAAGTATCTGTTGAAGCTTCCTGTGTTAAAAGTCTGTACTTTGATTTTTGAAAGTTGGGTATTATCTGTTCTCGTGATATGTATCTTGAGGTTACCAGCAGTAGCACAATTCCTCCTTCCAACTGAACTGCTGGTGCATATTAGTAGTAATCTGCTACAACAGACGAGCTGTACTTTTATTGTAACTTTCTAAAAAACTTAGTTGTTTTGATAGCAAAAGAAGATTTACTTTTAAGAAATATGATAGACTTGTGTGATAATTTGGTGGATGCCTAAAAAGTGTGTCCTTTTCAGGTGGAGGAATTAAATTCTTTGGTAAGTGAACTTGCCAAAGTAGCTGCCAAAGAGCAGGCTTCTCTTGAACAGTGCAAAGATTTCTTGTCGATGATAGCAACAATGCAGGTAATGCAGCAGCAGCCATTTCATGTGTTCTTCTTCTGTGTAGGTCTTTTCTGCATTACTCAGATTATGATTAATATTATGAATTGTGGACCAGGTTAAAGACTGTAGTTTGAGAACACACGTAATACAACATAACCGCGGATCAACAGCCTGACAATACAGGTGTAGAACTGATGTTATTTGACAAAATTTTTAATGCTAACACCCTATAGTAACGGTGGCCAGAGCAAGAGAACGATGACTAGTCCTGGTTCTTGTTTGGCATTTTTGCAACACATCTGCTCCCAGCTCATGTATTCTTCTCTGTCAGAAGATTTCGGAAATGATTTCTTTCCCACTAATCAGCTGTATACATGCTCTAATCTTTCGTTCTTTTCTTTTTCCACTGTTTGTCAAGGAAGAAGAGAAAAAAGAACTCGTGTATATATATGTAAAATTCTAATTAGACAATCATTCAGCACTTCCTGGAACTTCCTAGTGTTTTCATCTCTGTATCTCTCTGTGGTGTGTGAGCGCGCGTGTTGTTTCCTGTGAATGTGTAAGAATTTGCTTCCCAGATTCCAACTTGTAAGAGTATGAAAGAGATTAGTTTAGACAGGTTGTTTTGGGAGAATATAGTTATGTAGTAGTTAGTAATTTTAATATATGTACCTTCTTCCTAGGTAAAGAATTTGGAGAAATATGTGACAGAATATTTAGCACTGGACCTGGAATCTATAACCTCAACACACAGTGAGAAGCACTCCGCGTTTAATTTTCACACAAATTCCTACTTCGTAAGATATGAACTGAAAACATCTTATTCTCAATACTGCTACCTGAACTTAATAATCATTACTTTAGTACTCGCTTTGATTCATATTTTCCGTTTTTAATGGTTTTTGCACCACTTAGTTATAGGAGTATTTTTCTAATCTTTTATCTCTCCCTCAAACGTATTACTTGGCTAACACTTTATATTGGAGCAGGAAGGATAGATCTGCAAATAAAGAGATGATAAATGGCTTCTTGTTCTGTAAAAATATTAAATATTTTGAAATTTAATTTAATTTAATTTTTATCAAAAGGATTAATTTTTAAAAATGAGAGGAAGTATGGTCCAAAATAAATGACGTCCACATTGGCTTTAGGGCAATTGGCACTAAGGAAACGAGTATAGAAGATGTAGGCAAACAATGAGCAATAAAAAGTTGCCTACATAGTCAAGCGGTGGAGAGAAGGTGCGTGTTTCAAGTTGGACAAAAGAATTTGATTTCCAACGCATCCGACATTTTAAAATGTTAGGTCAACATTCATATAAAGTAAATATCAAGAAGCGAAAGAATGATACTCCCTCCGGTTCACTTTAATTAATATTTTTTTTTTGATTATTTTCACACATATTATAAAATTTGCCTTTGACATTAATTAATAATAAAATTACCATATTAATCTTAATTTGTTTATTAAAATATATAACAAATACTCTTAGGCTCTTTATTCCAAGGACAACTTTAGAAAAAAGAAGGTAATTGTTTCTTAATATCTATAAAAATCTAATATTATGGACACAAAACAAAGGGAATAAATAATTTGGGATGGAGGGAGTACATAATATGAATCTGCTAGCTCACTATACTGCTAAGATGTTAATTGCATGTAATAAGTGTTTACTTAGATTACTTCTTTCTGTAGTATATATATTAAGCACTGTGCAAAGCATTTGCTGTTCTCTTCTCACTTGCCTCGACTACAACAAAATTGAATAAAACTCGTACAATACCAACTTGGTTATGGAATACGTAACTAATTAAAACATAGAGGATAAAAAGTCAACAATCTTGTCCGCCTCGTAACTCCTCTTTGTCTCAAATTGCAGTTGCTCTCTCTAGTTTCGAGACCACCCCTCACCCGCGCATTTTTCAATTTTACTCTCCCGCATTTACATACTTTAAATATTCACTTAATTAACACTTTCAGCAAATTGAACAATAAAAAATATTTTTTTTAAACGTCAATTATATTTGAAACAAATTTAATCAGTCAAAAACGACCAATATTCACCTCTTCCAACTTCCAAGTCCTAATTAAAATCCAAGAAATTCTTCTTCAAAACATTTAATCGAATTCAAGGTTCTGTCAGAAATTCAAGAACTCCTAGACTGCATGCCTCAAACACTAAAGTGGTCCTCAAAATCTAGACCTTTGATTGTGTGGATCTCACAGTATTCAATGGTCCAAAGGATGAGATCGAGAAAACCCTCTCATGTTATATAGTTATACGTTGGATCAGTTGTAATTGTAAGGTCTAAAGAGTTGACAAGTTTGTGTGAATTAAGGCTGTGGCAGTGTGACAGCCCAAAAATAGTACTTAAACTTTAGTATAAAATAGGAAAGAATTGTTATAAAAGAAAAGCAACTTAGTAAAACATGAACAAGACATGTTGTTATGAAATAAAAGTAATTTAGTAAAACATGAACAAGAAATAGAGATAGAGAGAAAGAAGAGATTTTCTTCTTCAATTGTGTATATATATTTCTATCTATTACAAGGCCTTTATATAGACATGAAAAGTGAAGAAAAATATGTCATTGAATATATCATTAAGCATAGAAATATGTCATTGAATATGTCATTAAGCATTTGAGAAGATCATGGAGGAAGAGTAGATATCCACCATAATTTGATTTTTCTTATAACACTCCCCCTTGGATGTCCATAGATAATGTGCCTCGTTAAAACCTTATTAGGAAAAAACCCTATGGCAAAAAAATCCTAGTGAAGGAAAAAGAGTACACATGTTTAGAAATACGCATTTTGGTTGCCTCGTTAAAAACCTTGCAAGGAAAACCCAGTGGGACAAAACCTTATAAGGAAAAAAGAGTACAACGCGTATTAACTCCCCCTGATGAGAGTATCATTTCACATCCTTGAACCTTCGTATCCCAATCTTGTATACTAGTTTCTTGAAGGTTGATGTCGGTAGAGATTTGGTGAACAAATCAGCCATATTATCACTTGAACGGATCTGTTGCATATTGATATCACCATTCTTTTGAAGATCATGTGTGAAAAATAACTTTGGTGAAATGTGTTTTGTCATATCCCCTTTTATGAATCCTCCCTTCAACTGGGCTATGCATGCTGCATTGTCTTCATACAAAATTGTGGGTAGTTTGTCACACTTCAAACCACATTTGTCTCGAATAAGGTGTATTATAGACCTCAACCATACACATTCTCGACTTGCTTCATGAATAGCAATTATCTCAGCATGATTAGATGAAGTAGCCACGATTGATTGCTTAGTCGATCGCCAAGATATGGCAGTGCCTCCATATGTAAACACATAGCATGTTTGAGATCGAACCTTTTATGGGTCATATAAATACCCAACATCGGCATAACCAACAAGATCAGGACTGCAATCATTGCCATAAAATAATCCTATATCGGTAGTCCTTTTTAGATACCATAATATGTGTTTGATTCCATTCCAATGTCTCCTTGTAGGAGCAGAGCTATATCTTGTTAAGACATTAACTGAAAAAGCTATGTCAGACCTTGTAATGTTAGAAAGATACATTAGTACACCAATTGTACTAATATGGTATATCGGGACCAAAAAACTCTTCATTATTTTTATGAGGTCGGAATGGATGTGCTTTATCCATATAAAATCGCTTTAAAATCATTTTAGTGTATGTTGATTGATGAACAAAAATTTCATCTTTCATATACTCAATTTGTAGACCAAGACAAAATTTGTCTTTCCAAGATCTTTCATTTCAAATTATTTCTTTAACAAGTCTACTACTTTAGGAAGCTCTTCTGCTTTAGGAAGCTCCCTAGGAGTTTCAATGATATTTAAATCATCAACATACATGGTGATTATAACAAATTTAGATCCAGATCTTTTTATAAAGACACAAGGACAAATTGAATCATTCGTGTACCCTTCTTTCAACAGGTACTCACTCGGGCGATTATACCAATGCGCCCTAATTGTTTCAATCCGTATAAGGATTTTTGAAGCTTTATTTAATAAATTTCTTGGAAACCTTAATATGCTTCAGAACAATTTAAATCCTTCAATGATTTCCATTATACGCATATCACGTTTTTCTTGTATTGCCA